GCAGCAGTGGATACAGCAGCAGCAGTGGCTGCTCCATCATCTTCAGCAGCAGCAGTGGATACAGCCGCAGCATTGGCTGCTCCATCATCTTCAGCAGCAGCAGTGGCTGCTCCATCATCTTCAGCAGCAGCAGTGGATACAGCAGCAGCAGTGGCTGCTCCATCATCTTCAGCAGCACCTTCCCCACCTACAGCTCCCGTGAAGCTTCCCCCACTGCTCCAGGCTACAGTCAGGCCTGTACTGGGGGTTCCTCAACCACCTCTGTCCCCACCAAAGACTCCCTCATCACCTTCCATGGACCCGGCTTGGGTCCCCCCCGCTACATCCACTCCATCTAGGGAAAATGAGGACGACCTTTCCCTTTGTTTTCTATCCCCGCCTTCACTACTGGAATTACCGGAACACTCGGCAGGCATGATAAGATCGGCGATGAAGACTATTCCTCTCACACCCACTGTAGCCAGATCAAGAGTCCTATCTAACATTCAAAACCACTCCCCATACGTACCTCCAAAGCTACCTAGGGCGTCCAACTCAAATTCTCCCACAAAATCCACCCGTCCCTCCTCTAACCCCATAAGTATTCCACCCCCCCCTCCTGCTCATTTAGCCCACCTCCCCCCTAACCCAGCACCAAGAAACCCTCCACCTCCACTCCCCCCCGTCCCACCACCCAACTCAGCCTGCCCCTCCCCTAACCCATCACCAAAAACCCATCCACCTTCAACCCCCCCCCGTCCAACTCCCAAGAACCACCTGCCTCTCCATCCTCTTCCCCCACCTTCCCCTTCCCCTCTTCTCTCTAAGCACTAGGATGCACAGGGTCTCTGCTTCGCAGCCACTGGCAGTCTAGTTAGAGGAGAGACCCGGCTGGGGCCCTGTCATGAAGCCACCTGTGCCGATCCTTTAGTGATAACACAAAGAATACATTACAGAAAAACATCTGAAGTTAATCAGTCTAATCAGGAAAATCTAATTCTTGTTCCGTGTAAGAATCAGCCGACCACAACCGCTGATACTGAAACTTTGAAACTTGCTATGCTAAATGTCAGATCTCTTTGTAACAAGTCTTTTTTAATCAATAATTTTATTTTCTTATAATCTAGATCTTATGTTCATGGCTGAAACATGGCTTGACCAAAATACAGAAAATGCAGTTTTAATAGAAGCATCACCACCAAATTTCAAATTTGAATCTGAAATACGGGGAAACAAAAAAGGAGGAGGCTTAGCTGCCATTTTCAGAGACCACTTTGTCTCCCATAGAATGTCTCTTGGGAAGTTTCCGTCTTTTGAATATGTGTCTTTTAAAATACAACAAAAACAATCTAGTCCAATACTCTTCATTGTCCTATACAAGCCACCGCAGTCATGTCACAGATTTATTGATAATTTTACGGAGTTTCTTTCAGTTTTATGCACAGATTTTGATAGCTTAGTTATTACAGGGGATTTTAATATTCATGTGGATAATGTTATTGACAGAAAGGCAAAAGAGCTGAGTTCTGTTCTTGAATCTTTTGGTCTCACTCAGCATGTGAGTGGCCCCACCCACAGCAAAGGGCACACTCTAGACCTGTTAGTTACTAAGGGGGTGAATATTTCAAATGTAAACGTGGTCGATGTTGCGCTTTCGGATCATTTTTGTGTATTTTTTGACATGTGTTTCACTAACAAACCACCAGTGGACTCTGCAACTGTACGAAGAAGACACATAAATGAAAATACGGGTGAACTATTTATGGGAATGATAAACTTTGAGAATGCATCGTATTCTACTGTAGATGAACTGTTTAACTCTGTCACCTCTAGTGTTTTGAATGTTCTGGACACCATCGCTCCTGTGAAGGTTAAAACAGTGAAAAATAAGCAGAAGGCGCCGTGGGCTAAAGCAGACTCGGTCAGGGCACAAAGAGAGAGTGCCGGAGGGCCGAGCGGAAGTGGCGCATGTCCAACCTCCAGGTTGACTACGAGATCTTCAAAGATAAGTTGTGCGAGTTTAACCAGGTGCTACGTAGTACGAGAGAAAGGTATTTCTCTGAAATGATTGAAGGCTGCAGCAACAATCTGCGTGTTCTGTTTTCAACAGTTAATAGATTAACAAACCCCCCTGTTCAGATGCCATTAGAGCTAACTTCCAAACGTAAATGTAATGAGTTTGCACATTTTTTCAATGACAAGGTTCAAGGCATCAAAAACGCCATTGTCTCCAATCCACAGATAACCATCCAACAGCCTAAAAGGCTCTTTGAGCTAACTTACTTTGCACCTGTAAATGATCAAACTGTCCAAGAGATAATCTCCAGTCTGAGCGCCTCCACATGTAGCCTGGATGTACTACCCACTAGATTTCTAAAGTCTGTTCTGAGCAGTCTGTTACCTTCACTCACACAGATAGTAAACATGTCCCTTCATTCTGGAATATTCCCAAAGGCCCTGAAAACTGCAGTCATCAGGCCCCTGCTTAAAAAGAGCAGTCTAGATGCTACGGTACTTAACAACTACCGTCCCATCTCAAATCTGCCATTTATGGGGAAAGTCCTTGAAAAAGTTGTCTACCAACAGCTAAATAGATTTCTTATAATCAACAACTCATTTGATATGTTTCAGTCCGGCTTTAGACCCCACCACAGCACTGAGACTGCTCTCGTCAAGGTTACAAACGATATCCGGCTAAACACTGACGCAGGCAAAGTCTCAATCCTAATCCTGTTAGATCTGAGTGCTGCCTTTGACACTGTCGACCATGAGATCCTCTTACAGAGACTAGAGAACTGGGTTGGCGTCGCTGGCACCGCCCTAAGTTGGTTTAGGTCTTACCTTGAAGACAGGAAGTACTTTGTGGAGATTGGAAACTGTGTCTCAGATCATATGGCCCTGACCTGTGGAGTCCCACAGGGGTCGATCCTGGGACCTCTTCTTTTCAATCTCTACATGCTGCCGTTAGGTCAGTTAATACGCAGAAACGAAGTTTCCTATCATAACTATGCAGACGACACTCAGATCTATGTCTCACTGACTGCAGGAGAACATGGACCAGTGGACTCACTCCTTCACTGTATCCAACAGATCAGTGAGTGGATGCAAAACAACTTCCTTCAGCTAAACGCAGACAAAACTGAAATGATTGTCTTTGGTCCCCAGAAACAAAGAGAGAGCGTCATCTGTCATCTACAGTCTCTCCCCTAAAACCTTCAAACAAGGTCAGAAATCTAGGGGTAATACTGGACTCAGACTTAAATTTTAATAGCCACATCAAATCAGTAACATCAGCAGCTTTTTACCATCTAAAAAACATTTCCAGGATCAAAAACATAGTGTCTAAAGCAGACTTGGAGATTCTTATCCATGCATTTGTCTCCAGTAGGTTAGACTACTGCAATGGCCTGCTCACAGGTCTGTCCAAACAGGCTGTAAAACAGCTGCAGTACATTCAAAATGCAGCAGCTCGAGTCCTGACTAGAACCAGGAAGTACGACCATATTAGTCCGGTCCTCAGGTCTCTGCACTGGCTTCCTGTGGCTCAGAGAATAGACTTTAAAACAGCTTTGCTTGTGTACAAGTCTCTCCATGGCCTCGCACCAAAATATATTAGTGACATGTTAGTCCCATATGAACCAGCCCGGACTCTGAGGAGCACAGGGACTGGACTCCTGTTAGTGCCCAGAGTCAGAACTAAACATGGGGAGGCTGCTTTTCAGATTCATGCTGCTAAAATCTGGAACATTCTTCCTGAAGATGTGAGACAGGCCTCCTCTCTGACTATGTTTAAAACCAAGTTAAAAACTGTGCTGTTTAGCTGTGCATACAACTGAGGGATTTTATATTTTTATCTTTCTTTTTAATGTTCTGTGATTATTTATGATTTTAATGCTATTTGTTCAGCACTTTGAGTTGCCTTGTGTATGAATTGTGCTATACAAATAAACATGCCTTGCCTTGCCTTGCCTTGCCATGGCTAAATAGTCCAACAAAGTTAATTTGTGCTCAGACTGCAGATGGCGCTGTTGTTCTGCCTCTAGCAGGTAAGAAGACAGCGGCAAAACGTCACAAGAACATCACGTGACCATATGCGAGCAGTGAAAACCGTCAGGTATGAAAAGTTGATGTCAAAATGAATGAACACTTATTTATTTGAGAAGAACCATCGACAAAGATGATATCAGAGCAACAGTTTAGCATCCACCGTTGCGTGTACAGCAATACAGTAATACAGTCTTCGATACTTATATGAGTGTAATGAACACCAGAGCAAAGAGCCTGCCCCTGGGACCAGGCCTGGACACAGAGTCCCACTTTTCCAGAAAGAGAGGCTGAATCAAAGCTTTGTACAATCACAGAGGCAACATGTAGGGAAAGAGTGGAGCTCAGAGGAAACATTCTGAAATATTTATATCATAAATATCAGTCAGTCACTTGGTTAGAAAAATGTGCTAAAAACATGAATGTCATGAGGAAATGCACAAGACAAAGATGGAAGCATTTCCTTCAGAGTGTGAGGGGTTTGAGGAGCTCCAATTATTTACACAGTATTTTCCAAACCAAGTGAGTCCCTGATATTTGTGATTTTGTAAATGCTGCATTCTTTCACACAAACACTGATATTATGTTGACATTAGCTCAGAGTTGCTGTTGTTTCGAGATGATGAAATATTATTTTTGTTCAACTTAGCATATTAACTAATGAATGAAATAAGATTCATGAAAAAATGTACGCATACTTACCATTTACAGTAATGCATGAGTGCTTAATCCATAACCAGCTCACTGTCAATCGCTAATTTGTTACAGGTAACTAGTAATTATATCAAAGGCTCATCTTAAACATTATTTAGAACTGACACCCAATTCAACAAATGTCTAATGTTGGGCCTCGTACATACTATCATTAATTTTCAGCCAAATTCTGAATCCTGCCATTTGTAGCAGCTCCGCAACATGAAAAGAATGCAACAAGGGGAGGGCTTCAAAATAGACAAAGTCCAGTGAACAGACTTTACCTGAAGGGTCAGCACTATGCTCTGTGGCTGCAGGCGGCCAGTGCACATCGAATGGAGAAGGCATGCAGAACCCAGCAGCATAGACAGAGCAAAGCACATGAACCAGGAGACATAAGAAACACGTCAAACAAGTCAAGCAGTGAAAACACATGCATTTGGACACATGACAAACTGGAGCGCTAACGACAGATTAACACCAACACTGGAATAAGGATGTCAAGATTGTATTATAATGACACTTTTCACAATATTAAAGCTGAGGTACCCACAAAATAACAATGTACAAATATCTATGTAACTGGTTCTCAAAACAGTTTTGGTATTATCGCTAGCATTTGGGCCTCCGTCACGTAGAAGGACGGAGGGAAAGAAAGACGACCCCTGTCACTCGGCCAATCAGCTCTCAGCCTGAAGAGGCAAATAGTAGGATGCAAGACTCTTTCTTACAGATACATGAGATGTTTTCTATCAAGATGAAGACAGCATTCTGTGGTCGGATTTGTTCACAACATTTCACTTATGCCATATTTCTGTTAGGATACACAAAATGTTATTATTTATAAAAAAGTAATACCCCAGCTTTATTACATGTTCAAAGATACACAAGTGTCCATCTTTGTCATATTCATTCGCACATGCAGTAAAAAGGTTTTGTATTGAATAACCTATAAATATATGTGTTATGTCACTGTACATGTTTTTGTGTTGTATTCTGTTTGTAAAGTTTATGTCTGTTTGAAAACAGCCAAATATATATAATATATTTAAAAGAGATATATATGATATATATATCAAAAGATACTCTTTGTAACTATGTAATGTCACATCATGACATCCTTAAACTGGGACTAGAAGAAGCTCTAATATAATTGGCTTTGAGCTAAATACATGAGAAGGTACCATGCAGTAGCAGTATCCTGGCCAGGCATACAAAATGATAAATAATACATATACAGAGCTCAGCTGCTGCATGGGGCTTACCTGACTGTATTCCTTCTGTAAAGCTACAAACCTTTCCTTGGCCAACGTCACGGCAAGATCTGAAAGGAGACAATGAGAAGGAATTAAGATTAAAAAGTGATTCGACAATTAGAGTAGTTTTTAACTTCCACACCGAGTTCAGGAGCTGAAAAGTGCTTTGCTATCTCCATAACCCCAGATATTAGATAATGCATTCGAGCTGCCATTTACTTAAATGTCAGGCTCCATAATTAACTCAAGACAATAGAATCATTTTGTTAAATATCAACAGTGAGGTGGTTTTTGGAATCAGTCGAAATGTCACAGTGCCACAATCACAAAGTGCCACAATCACAAAGTGCCACTTGCTCTAGATGGAGTGTTGACATTCCCTAGATTCTATCTCCGGTAAAAGGTTTGCAGCAGCTCTCAATGCGCCAAGCAAGGCGTACAAATCACAACGCAATTCAGAGAGAAGAATGACAAATACTCTTTGCATATCCATATCCATTTTGACATTTGTTGAAAATTGCAGGTGATACCATTAGTTTCTTCCATCTCAGAAGAAAAATAATTAAAAAAGTTATGGTGCAAGTTTACAAAGTTCCAGTGAAAAAAGGATCACTGTCACCAATCTGTTTGCCGGAGCTGGATCAAACCATTTCTGCTCTGTCATGCCGGCATGAGACAGTATTCACGTCAAATTTTTAGTGAACCAAATACAATCCTTATATTTGACTCTCAATATCCGCTGATATTTGTACAGTAAATCGATGGAAGATGGCGTGTTTTTCCCCTGTCACAGTGGGTGGACCATGTTGGCTAAATGTCTGTTTGATAGAGTTGCAAAAAACAGAAACTATGTTCATCATGAGGACGCAATTTTACCAAGATAATTATCATCACAACAATCGCCTCACGTTTTCATAACAATAATGCCCAGGTTTGTAAAAATCAGATAATGCAGCTATAGGTAAAATCAATAATTTCAACAATATTTTGGTACGATAGCTGTTTATATACATTCTATAAACAGATTGATTTAATATCGCCTCTTTTTTGGTTTTAACCCATCTAGTTTCTAGATATGTTTACCATTGATCTTTTGTTCATTAGAACCCAAAAGAATCTATAAATAGTTGCCAAATTCTGACCAATATCTAGCAGACCACCATCAATCATTCATACACACACCAGCCTCATTCGATGTGGGTGAGGTGTCACAAATGTAGGTGAAGGACACAATGATAGTTTGGCACATTGCAGCCGCAGCCATCCCAAATGTGTTCCCAGAAGTCTCACATCCTAGTATTGACCAGACCCTGCTCTACTTAACTTATGACATCTGGCAGGATCAGGCTTTCACATACAGGTGGCGCCACATACTGAACAATATATCGGTCAATCCAGCGATTACTGGTTTAACCTATTAGATCAATCTCACTTCTGGTTTTCAAATCATCCCAATTAATTTAGACATGAGTTGGTGCGCACAAGAGCACAAGACAACAGGATCCAGGCTGTGTTAGCAGACATATTTGTTGCTTTCTAATTCTGTGCATGAAATTCCCATTAGGAGGAGAATGCTTCGGGGCTGTACTTCACCCAATTAGTGCGCTTGTTTAGAAAGACTCTCTTCAAGTCTGTTTTTCCACCGCATTCTCGGCTTTCCTAAGGCTGGCTACAGACTACAGGATTCTCAGCCCTGCACAAGTTTGGTAAAGCATGGCTCGAGTGACGATTCTGGTTTACAACGTTTTATCGTTGTGTCCATGGGGCCAGTGGATTATGTCACATCACGCTGCCATAGTGACAAATGTGAAACTGTAGCACAACATTATGTAGATTCAGGAAAACCAGAATCAAACCATATTCATAAACTGCAGACATTCAGACCCGTTCAAAGACCCGTTAATCCAGAGTTTTACGCAACCAAACAGGACAACGTTGAAATAGACAATTATAGGGGTGCATTTATGCAATTGTGCTGAAAACCACAGACTGAGAACATTAACCACAGTGAACTCATGTTAAAACAGCTGGCACACGTACACATGCGTTCTTGATGTTTGATCATGAAGAAAAAGAATATTATATTATATACAATACAATACAATTTATTCTTGTATAGCCCTAGGTCACAACAAAAGTCATCTCAGAGACTTAACAAAACCATTGAAATCACCAACACAGGTCAGAGAATCAACAGTTAAAACACATGAAAAATATCAAGCACACACAGAAGAAAATGTCCTCCATACATGTTGTAGAATGCTAAAGTGTCCTGATCATCGACAAGGAAAAACTCTTTAAAAACCCAGAGGGAAAAAGTGAGAAACCTTGGGGAGAACTAGGGAAACCCACAGGGAGGGAGACCCATTTGAGAAAGGGATCCGCTCTCCCGGACGGACAGGCTAATGATCTAGGACCTAAGCTAGCTACAGAACGTGGACCAGTGGCCGCTGAACGTGGACAGGTCCGGTGCAGGTCGGGCGGCACGGTGGCTGAGTGGATAGCACTCTCGCCTCTCAGCAAGAAGGTCCTGGGTTCAAATCCCGGTTGGACCAGGGCCTTTCTGAGTGGAGTTTGCATGTTCTCCCCGTGTCTGCGTAGGTTTCCTCCGGGTGCTCCGGTTTCCCCTACCACTAAAAATATGTACAATAGGTCTGGCATGTGCCTCCTGTACTGGCACCCCCACTCCCAAAAATCACAATTGTAAACCGCTTTGAGACTCCGATGTGCAGTGAAAAGGCGGTATATAAATAAAGATTACTACTACTACTACTACTACTACTGTGCAGGACTGAAGCACTCCCAGGCGGGTCGGGCAGGGCATCCATCCAAGTGTCCAGGAGTCCCACTGCAGAGCACAGCGTCTCATTCGTTCTAAAGTTCACTCGCAGTACTTTTGCCTCTGAGGATGAGAGCCGCTGGTACCGCCGCGCACTGACACTTTCATTTATATCTCACTATTACTGATCAAAGAGAATTTTACAGGTGAATATCCTCATCAAAGTGTATTTTTTCCGTGCTAGAGGGTTTGTAAGTAAGTAATGTTTATTTATATAGAGCATTTTACAGACCAATGTCACCCAAAGCACTTCACAATGTAAAAACAGGGAAAAACGGAAGCGAGTCTCCGAACACGCATCAAAGCCCCCAATCCATCCCTTCATTCTCTCATTTACATACATACCTATTGTGCCTGCTCCGACTAGGATTCGAACCCAGGACCTTCTTGCTGAGAAGCGAGAGAGCTATCTACTCAGCCACCGTGTACAACCGCAGCTGCTGTTGAGTGCTACTTGAATTGTTCAGCCTAATTATTGGGCCTAATGTATTTAAAATGAAAATAAAATGGATTAGTTGAGAAAATCACATCTGATTGGACAGAAAATTGCATCATTTATTCTTATGCCTGAGGTCTGTGTCACGATTTAAAATGTCAGGAGTCAAAAACTGCTGTAGTCTGAAGCTTTAATGCCTTCTTCAGCATCCTGTTGAACACCTTCACACTCAGAGGTGCGACTGATGCACAACGGAGAGGCACGACTCCATACGGTTCTATAAGTAGCAATGCTCTAATCTCGTCATTGGACTGAGACTTATAACTAGTAACTAAGGAGTATGTTTTTGTATCTGTTTGTCTAAAAAGGACACGTGAGGAATTTACAGTTGAATTAGAATTTGCTACAGTGTGCAAGAACTTCATTTTAAAGTTCACACTGCATCTTTTCTCGGTTTGCAGTGGTAATTGGGAATAGATAGGAACAAACTTTAAAAAAATATATATAAACAGGAAAATAATTCCAAAGAACAGAAAATGAGATGATGACAGATGATGAAGGAGTATGTGTGGAATGACGACAGCTCTGCAGCTAGCTGTTATTTTAGTAATCAAGTTTCCTCTTTTAAATGAATGTGTTGCGTAAGATACTATTCCTACTTAATTGCATTCATATTTACTATATATTTGAGGAAATGTATGGTTCACACACCTAATGTGCCCTGTAGCGGCAATATATGGACCAATCAGGTGGAAGGATTTTAACATTTTGCCGTTTTTGCTGCTACTGGTCACCTGAATTTCTACTACGGGTTCAATAAAGTATCTATCTATCTATACATCTGGGACACTCCCACTCCACCTGAAAGAAAATGTCCATCCAGTGTGTCCCGGGTATGGGGTCATTCTCACCGTGGGACAGGCCCAGAACACCTCCCCGATGAGGCGTCCCAGAGACATCCCAAGCTGGACCAAAATAATAACAGTGCCATGAGGTGGAGGTGGGTTTATTATTAATTAAGTTTTGTATGAAGATTTTGTAGGTTGATATTTGCCGAGCCTCTTTGAAGGACAGCTCGAATGCACAGACCTTATTATACCTCCTTAATCCTTAACCAGTGTGAGGAGTAGACAAGTGAAATTGGTCTCACATAGAAGTCTCCCACATTTCACCTTTGTCTGCACAAGTGTAACCAAGCCAACGCAACAACATGATGAGAAAGTGTGTAAGCCGTATTTTTCTCCAGCGCCTCTGGTCCAAGCTGGCAGTGGCCCGGACACTTGAACTCCCCAGAGAGTGTCTGCCTTTGCTCTCACGGTCCCACCTATGGAACAAAGCCTGACCTTCTTACAGACAACAGCCCTGCCTGAAGCTCTGCATACAATCAGCATTAGCATAAAGGCTCTGGCACACTGTTCTTGACACTAACAGCACAACAGCATTACAGTATATACAAGTTACAATGTCAAACAACAGCAGCTTCAGAAACTTTCAGGGCAGACATGTGACTCCCCAAAAAAAAAAAGATTTACCAAACCCTTTTTTAAAGAATAGGCATGAGCATGTAATCAGAACATTGATTTGATTACTAATTAATTGTGTCCTTGAACAAAGTCTTTTCCATTAGCTGTGAAAGCAGAGGGAAGGTGACAGTGTTGTTCATGGCCATCAGCACCTGTTCCTGCTGCCACTGTGAGTTCATGCTGTAGTAACACTGATCATTTCCCATCACATTAAATCCCATGGATGCACAGGAGCGGCACAATCACGGTAATCACTCACAACTGAAATGA